CCACGGCCACAGGTACCGCTGGTACCCGCCCAAAGTCCCTGGTGGTACCCTCCAGGGGGTGCCAGGTGAGGTACCTGGTGTTCATTTCTGAGAAAAACAAAGGTGGTACCAGGGTACCGCTAGAGGTACCCGGGTACTGATCGTCATCTTTATGCATCATGATGCCATGGGACATATAATACACTTGATCTAAAATACTAAAATAATCCCCATGGCATCATGGATGCATCATTGCATTTCTACTGTCAATTAGTAGTCAATTGAACATAAATTTTAGAATAATTCAATATATTTACCCCAACAATGTGAAAGATCTTCTCTAGCCTTGGCTTGTCGCTTCAAGTTCAGTGCTTTCACTTACAAATACCTGGGAAGTACATATAGTGAATATTTTTCAGCCTAAAAGCAAATTTCACATCACCATTCACAAGATATTGTATTTAACACACAGACTACATTATTGATTATCCTATTGTACATTTGTGTATACATTGCATCTGTCTTATTTCTATTTTCCTCAAAATCTAAGAACAGACAACATTTCATCAATTTTAAATCATTCCTCTTATTTCTGAAGTAAGTAACCATGCTGACAGGTCCCCTCAAATTTTTACTCATATTTGAATACCAAAAACAACATAAGGAATGTTGAACTGTATAAACACCATGAGAGAAGAAATCATGCTGACACCTAGACATAAACATTTTAAGAAGAGGAAACTGAGAACTGAAAGACAACAAAGGAGAAAAGAGGATATAATACAAAATAAATAGACAAAAGAAAGGGCTGGAAAAGAATTATTGCAGCAAACAGAAATATACTTTAAAGGAGTGAGTAAGTTGTTGAGTCCTATTTGAAGTCAACAAGCTGTAGATATATAAAGACAAAACTGCAACCAAAACACTGCACTAAAAAAGGCAGCCATCCACCTTTTCATGCAGTGAAAAACAATAGTCCCAATAGATAAATGCTACTCAGAGTTCTAGCTTAGCATTGAGTCCTCTATGTGAAATATCAACTGTGCATAAGACAGCAATTTTTATTTTCTAAATATAAAAATTGAGTGCAGCTATAACAAGATGGTGGAAAAGATGATATTTGGTGCTATTTAGCTGTGGGTAGCACCAGGAGTGTAGTTGACAGCTTGTTTTCATGCATAAAGTATAACATGTGGGTGATCTGAATTGCCATCATGGCTTGCTATGAGTAATTTTTCCCTTTGTTCTGTTTTTCTCTATCAGGGGCACACAAACTCAAATCAAATGTAGTGGTAGATTAGCAAGAGAAATTTTCATACAATGGTCAATTTGACACTATTCAAGCAGTCAATGTAGCCAGACACTGCTACTGAACACCGAACAAAGTGAGCTGAGACTTTGTTTTTTTTCCTCAATCAAATCATTAAAAAGAATAGCACCCAGCCTGCTACCATTAGCATAGAAAAGTGGGGCAAAATCTGCTACACTGCCCACTTTGTCCAGTGTAGCTGTTGTTGTGCTGATATAGACTCTTTCAGCTATCAAGTAAGAACCAGCTACCTTGAGGGGTTGCTGTTCCTAAATCGGGATAGTGATAAGTTTTGGAAAATCAAGGCTTCTTCAGGTTCAGTGATTTGCCAATATAACTTATGTAAGTTAACTCTAAATTTCATCCAGTTCAGGGATCCGTGCAACAGTTATAACTAGAAGAGTCGGTCCAGACAGGAGATCCTAGATGTACTTCTGGAATAAGAGGAATAGAATACTTTTTGGGTAAAGTTGTCTCTTCTTGGATTCCTGAGAAACATAGTAATAAAAGAGACACAAAAATAACAGTCCACCCACTGTACAATGCATAATACTGTATAAGCATAAATAGATAATTCATATTGTAGTCTGAGTAGTAACTGGAACAGTAGCTGGTGACAGGTAGTGTGAAAGGTACTTGCAGGCTGAAAGACTTGATAGGGCCTGCCTGATTGCCCGCACCCTGGGTGAACCTTCCAACATTGGGAGGTATGACACAATCTCAAGTCCACAACAAACTTGATTGATCAAACTTGGCCATCTTGAAGAATTGATGAAGTTTCTGATGTTGGAAAAACAGAATTTACTTGGGTTCTATGTCATTTCCTTAAACCCTCTGTGTTCCTGCAGTGGAAATGCTCTAATTAAAGCAATATATGACTTTTTTTCCCTGAAATCCTATGTTATATCTGTCACTGATCAGGTCCACCAAAGCTGGATCAGATCTTACAAGAATCTGTATTATACCACTGATAATTTATCACTGCCAAATTGGGCCTTCATCTAGCAGATTAGAAGTTGAGTCAAGACTCAATGTGTTAAAAAGTGCTAGTGGTAGCAAAAATAAATTCAAGCAGAATTAAAGAAGGGAGAATGATTGAGTGGAAGGGGGGATTCAGAAGAGGAATGACTTATTAGGAAGAAAGTAGAAGGGGAAAGTAATTGTTTGTGTCAGTGAGCAGATTCAGTTGAATCAAGGATGACAAGTGCTGAGAGTAGAAACTGAGTTCTTTTGCAGAAGAAAAGGAAGGAGAGTGAGAGAGAGCCTGAACTTGAAAAACAAGTTTACACAATTGAAAGCAGTTGTGCAGCCATCTCTTGCAGTGTGAGGCACTGCCAAACAAGCCAAAACTATTTTTAACCCTGATGAAATAAATTAGGCATGAGATCAAGTTTCAAACCCAAAATACATCATGAAAATCCAACCAAATCTAAAAACTTACCTGACCTATCTCTGTGAAAGATTTGAAGTGAACACACCTCAAGTGGCCACAACTTCAAGCTACTGGATCAAACTAATTCATTAGCTCCTGGAATGTATTGAAATCAAATAGGTCATACACAAGGATCTATTTATATATTTGGGTTAGGTTTGTATAAACCTTGTTGCAAATGAAATCCACTGAGTGGTAAAATTTCTGTGGGACTTTGCAATGGCTTATTGGTGGCCTACATATAAGATTTGGCCTAAGAGTTAGGACCCCAGGTATATGATATCAATATTTTGACATCTACAATCTGATGGTGTACACTTTCTTCCATGGGCTGCTCCAAATTTTACCCCATCCCACACCCGCAATTTCAATCAACTTTGCCTTATTTCTCTTGCCTACAGATCAAGAGGTATCTCTATTTTTTCTGACAGCACCCAAAATCCTGCCACAGGGGCTTCCCAAAAGAGCACCAAGCAATGACACTATTCCAAACTCAGATGCCCTTCAGGAGCACACCTTCTAGCTGAAAGAATGGATTACAGCCTCAGATAAAGTTATTGAAACAGAATGAATTTCCCTGTTCTTTGGAGCCAACACACTCCCTCCCAACTGTCCTCCTGAGAACAGTAGCACGCCTGAGAGCACCTGCAAATTGCAATGGCTGTGGCTTCTTGGGTTTGGGTTGTCAAATGATGGATATTGAACCAGTTTACCTCCTGTGGCAAAGCCTCAGCTGTACTCTAATTGCAATTCACCAGTCAGGTCCAGTCAAGCTCTCTCCCCGGTTATAGTTTTGGGGCCTGAAGAGGTGAAGCATTTTGTCAATTTTGGTTCACAGTACCGCCCCTTGACAGAAATACCCAAACCTCTCAATCCAGATTGTTCAAGTTGCACACAGGGGTTTTGCTAATTATGACAAGGGGCTTCGATGATCATGAAACATTGATCGATTTCATCACTGCAAGAATCCCAATGAGCCCTTGGTTCTGACGAAACCTGAGTCCAATAGGCTGATCACATGTTCACATCATCCTGCCACATGTGTGGAAGCTCCGAGCGGTTTTTTACTTGCGATGAGCAGTGCAAAGTTAAATAACTAAACAGTGCGTTTGCGTGCACCGCTGTATAAAAGTGGTGTATACCTCAGTCCAGACTCACTAGCTTCAACCTGGCCAGCAAGCTACAGCTGGCATCCGCCCGGCGGGAAGGGAATTTAATCAAAGCGGATTAACATATTTTGGCATGAAGCACCAACGTGTCTGTCAATGAATATGTTCTAGTGAGGCGCTGGATTCTTCCCCTGAATTTTTGATTCTTCCCCTACTTTTTCAATGGGGGCCAATTGGGAAGCCGCGAGGACTTGCAACGAAAATTTACAGGCCTCTACTTCTACAATTTCTTCAGCTAATCATGAGATCGTTTGTATCGCCGAACATGTTACGGCAGTGAACCCATACACATGTATCACATACTTTGAAGCCTGAGCCCCACCTGTTTCCTCATTGAGCCGAGCCGCAGTGAAGTTTAATTTCAATTCTTACTTGTTCTACTAACGCCCTTTCCCCCGGCCTTGCGCGAAGGTCCACCTTGTCTCCGGCACGGTAGCCTTCAAGTCAGTCGAAAGGGCGAGCTGAATTGGCTCATTCTGGTAACTGAGCCCATATATTGTATCAGGAAGATTAAGCATGCCACATCGGAAAAGGGGTCCACTACTGTAGGGCACGACTTACCTTCAGAAAAATCTTGTTCGATTGGTATTCTTTCATGATTCCACTTTCAAGTCTTGAGGAACCTCATGCCTAAGTTCCTAATTGTAAAATTCCCTCAAAGGCCTCCACTGATTACAGACTCATGATTCCCCCATCGGCGGATTGGAGTACCAGGTCAGCTTCCCCCAGCGCGCGTGAACTTGAACCCTCACTTCGAGACCAGTTATTAAGCCCAAATATCTCAGCAACAACCCGCTCCATGCCGTCTCCGCCAATCCTGTCATGCTTTCAAGGTGATGACGCTCTGGCGCCTGAAAATGATAAAGAACCGGCTTCCTCCTCCATGGGCTGCTGGGGTTTCGATCTTCAAGACCCCAGGGTAGGGAGTGGACCAGCTGATCACCTAGATGGCGGTAAGTCTAACTGCAAGTTTCCTATGATGGATGCGTTTTCCTCCATCTGATCTCTGCACTATCCACAGGTGAACATTTTTTGAGTGAAGACTCTGATCTTCTTAAATTTTTATCGATTCCCACTTGCTTGCAAAGCTCAAGCTCAGAATTTCTTCACTATGACGCCTCAAATTTACCGCCAAAAACCGAGAATTTTGACAATGTCTCCTCAGCCGAAGATCCTATAGTCCAGAAAACTACAAACAAGTCGAGCAAAGCACATATAACCCAGCTTGGTCAAGATCTTCCGTATGAAGCCACGGTGCAGGATACATCAAATGGTGAACTTGTGGTTGGTGGCATTCAAAACCAAAAAACGGAAAAAAGTGTGCGTGGGGGGCGAGATATCTTCTCAATCGTCACAAGTGCTTGGGATGGCAGAACTGTTAGCCCTAAGGATGCTTTCTTGGATTATGATCACGTTTATACGAAACTCGAAGACGAAGCTTCACGGCGTGTGAGCCATAGCTGGATAAAAGATAAGGTTATAACAATGAAGACAAATCAGCCCATCGTCAATCTCACAGAAAATCCCTATTCTCTCCTGGACGAACCTTCTCTTACGGCTGATTCATCTCCTCCCCACTTGGATCAACGGCTAACTATCGACACCAACGAATTATATTCCTGCAATTCAAGTCCTGGAAAACGTGTTTTGCAATCACCCGAAGAATCAGCAGCTTCTCAATTCAGTCTACCCCCCCAATGCGTGCCAAAAAACGCCATACGTTGGACGCATTATAACTCTACCTCTCCCTCAAATCTTGAGACGCAACTTCTCCCGGAACCTGGAAACTCGACGGCTGCAACTCCCGTGGAAAAAATCCATTCTCTCGACTCCAATATGATCGTGAAAGACGAAATGCCGTCCTCATCTCACGGCCAATCAATACATTTGAACACCCGAGAAGTGCCTACGTCCGGCCCGTCGGACTTATTGGCTTGTAAGTCTTCAAGTGTCACGCCCAATTGCGAAGAATTCTCTGCTTCTTCGGAAGACGAAACAAGCACACTAGAAACAGAGGCGACTGTTTTGTGGTTTGATGACAAGAGTGAGCAACCTATGCGTCATTCGGAGCAGAAAAATCACAGTGATCAATTGAGACACATAGAAGCATCGAGCAATAACTCTTCATCAACAACGGAAGCCTTAAGACTTTATCCGGATACTTATCATGCGCCCCGCCAGTGTGAGACTCTGCGTCGGGAAAGCTCCATGAACTCCACGAAGAATGACTCAAAGCGGTCCGAAACCCCAAAGTGGCACCGGTTAAGCGCTACTGTCGACGGGTCAGTTGGGGATAATTCGCACATGACATCAAGCAATCAAACGCAACTGGATGACCAGGATCCTGTCAAATCAAGTGATATAACCATCTTGGGACCCGAATTGCGTGATGAAAGTGCCGATCTCCATGAAGTTATTGAGGGGGACGAGGGTCAACTGAGATTGGTCGCCAGTGAGGATAGTCTCGACAATTTTACCCTTGGCGATCAAAGCTCTGAAGAGATTGAAAATTACAAGACCACTGCCACTTCCTCGCTAACACACGTCCATACAGTTCGGAAAACCGACAAGTCACGAGAACCCTCTGAAGCCGTTCAGATGAACGATGGAAATCCTGTCAAGAAACGCCGAAGAGCTGAGAGTAACAACTATCATATCTCATCGCCATATCCACGAGTAACTCGAAGCTCCCTTGGTCTTTGCAGCAGCAAGGACGCAGGTTCGCCTCAGATTTCAACCACGCCGGTCGATCATCCAGGGCGTGGCTCTCGCAAAACGTCAAGGCGCACAACTCAAAGTGGCTTCTTGATCAAACCTAGTCCCTCACCGAACCAAACTCTTGAAAACGTCTTGGATGACTCATCTGGTCATATCCACTCGATGGGTCCGATCATGTGCGGTCACGTGGACGAAAGGACGGGGGAAAAGTGTGAAACCATGTTTAAGAGACCATATGATCTCGCCAGACACAAAGAAACAATACACGATTCAGAGGGCCCTGGAGGCAATCGCAAGCCTCAATGGAAGTGTGGTCAGTGCGGTGGAGGATTTAGTCGTAAAGATGCCTTGATAAGGTGTGAAGATTTTGAATTTTGATATTTCTAACTTTCATCACACGCAAGTTAATCAACTGCCATCTTTCAGACACTGTAGAACACGGAACCACTGAGATTCGCGACTGGAATGTTTTTCAAATCAAAGCATGCATCTTTTCATGGCACCTAATTATTTCGAAAACGGTTTTGGAGAGATCTGAATCGTAGCCAACCCTTGATAGATCCATGGGCTAAGAGGCAGTAGATCCAAAAGTTTAGAATATGTAATACACTGTATGTTCATATCAGAAAGTTAGATAATATAAAGAAATGCAAGTCCTTGCCCGTTTTGTATCTGTAGGTAATGTGTTATGTGTATCTGTACTTGGGCATCATATAACAAAAGATATGAATCCTATTGTGTTTAGCACACAAATATAAAATTTGCTACATAAATAGTTGGCGCATCAGTTCTTCTGTCTGTATGAATATGTGAAATGTAATAATATAACTTACTCAACTGGTTGATACAATCCATGAACTTTGGATGGTTTCCTGATTTTTAACAATGAATTCAAAGGGTATTTCACTGTGAAAAAAATCTTGCTGAACTGACAGCAGCCTTCATGTTCAACAGATTTTAAACCATTTCTAAAGTGTCAAATCTCTTATAAGATTTATGATATTAAAAAACTGCCTTACTATAATTTTGCTTGTTGCCCATTTCTAACAAAATTATTGATCAAATCAAGCAACATCTCAACAGTAGATTGCAAGCACAGAAATATAATGAATGCTCTAATTCATTACCAACCAATTATATCTAGATCATGACAAAATTGTTTTAGTGATTGATCTCCTTTAATCAACGGTATTACTTCAACAGCCCTCAGTGATTGGTCCCAGATTTCATTATGGAGGATATGAGAAAATTCTGGCCCTTGGGCTACCTAATGTTTTACAGAGGGGTCTATCATATAAATTTCTATGGTACATTACAATATTTCAAGCAGCAAAAGTTGCCCAAAAAAATGGTGAATTGTATCATATGATAGATGCCACATTTTACTTCAGTTTCTTGGCAGCAACATGCCTTCAAGCTAAAGACTGTTGGGCAGCTTTGGTGTCACAAGGTGTGGTATGTCCTAGAGAATTCAGCTTGACTTGATTCCTTAATTAATTTCTCTTTGTTTATTCTTGGTTTGTGTTAGCACATTGTGGTTTCTCATTTTTGCTCACTTCTACTTGCTAGGTGTTTTTTTCCCACTGTTTCCCTTGCTTGATATCACACATGTAGCCATGAGAAAAACAGCTTGAGATTGCTAAGGATGCATAATTAACAATCCATTTTTTTTTTTTTCAGATGGCAATAGCATGGCCAACAGTTTGAACAAAACACAACAAAACCCCGATTGTTTCCCATCATGATCCCATCCCGATATCCGATCCCCGGGGTGCACAGCTCGGGGTGCAGACTGAGCTTGTTCTGCTGCTGGTTTCACTGCCCTCGGCCTCCAGCCAGCCCAGCCCCTTGATTTGCAGGTCAGGTTGCTTGCCTGTTGACCAATGAACAACAACTTACTACCCATCCGACGCTCTCCAAAGCCCATCTCGGGTATCATGAACTCAGATTAGAAGACAGAAGACTTACTCACTCGAACTTGCTGCACCATCCAACCCAAACGAACGAGCACCGACGGTGGAGATCAACATGGCTACCGAAAATAACCCGTTGAGTCCCTCTCATCTGAATATAAGATCATCCAATCGATAGAGATCGATCCCCACTGACTTGCTTCATCCGTTCTGATGCCCATCTCGCAGCCAATCCAATCTCACGGCTGTCCGGCAAAACGATCGATTGGCACCCGCGCGTGGCTCCCGTACGATGGTAATCGACCAGGATAGCAGTAGCCATCAGGGGGAGGACAGTCAAGCAAACAACTCTAGCTCTGCTGCAACCCTTATCCTCCGTGCAGGACCACTCCAAGACTCTCAACCCCGCCAACCACGAGTTCAATGGCAAGAGAACGTTATCGACAATGAAGGCCTTGGCAGGAAGAAGAGCAAAGGTCAGAATCCCCACTAATTCTCTCTCTCTCTCTCTCTCATCCATCCTCTCCTCTTTCTTGTCGACTGAAATTGATATCTTCCTTTGTCCAACAAAAACCTTAGTCTGTTGCATCTACAACAAGCCTAAGGCATTTGACGAATCTTCCGACGAGTCAGATCACTCTGACTCGGACTGTTGTCCAACACGCTCATCAGGGGCTAGACCATGCCCATCGACCACCTCGACCACTCAAGCCAGACTGGGCTCAACCAGTCAACCCACACCATCCCATTCACTGCCAACCCCACCTCGATCGCCCAACGCATACGAGGCTGAACCCAGCAAATCCAAAGGTGAGGCTTGTTTCTTGACAGTTACTCGGTTTTTCTTTCCGGCGTGCTGAATCAAGTCTTTCGGAATCTCCTCAGGCAAAGGGAAGGCCTGACCAGTTTTTCCGAATTTGTTTGACTTTTTCCTGAAAGCTTTCCAGTGTGATTTTTCTTCTACTTCTTCTTCTTTTCTATGTACTGGAAGTTTTTCTGTGAGCTAGTATTCACTCGCGTTGGCCATTGATCACCCACCTGCGTTTTAGATATCATCGATGTATAAAAATCAAGCAATTCATGTTCGTCATGATATAGATAGATCATGATGTGTGTATCCATCCTCGTCCTTGACTGTTTTCAACTTTGACTACGAAGCCATCGGTTTAGATATGATGCCAGAGGGAGGGAGAGTTTGCACTTGTTCCAGCTCGGGCCGCTAACTCTTCTTGCCACTTGGAAAGTTTTACAAGACTGAAGTTTATGCATGGCTTTCTCACCAGTGCTTCTTGAACTTTCCACCCAACCCAAGCAACTCGAGCTGGGCACAAGCTGACCTCGTCCTGCGTCCTATGAGTATAGGAGACAAGTCTTCAAACTGACCCATGCTTTCCCAACGAGCGGCAGCATGCCCTTGCTCCAAAATACTACATGATGAGTCCAAACCCCTCGGAGGCCAGACGACTGTCACTGTCAGGGTGTCTCCCAGCGATGTGCCTACCCAGCGCTCGGCGTTTTTCGACTGACGGAGGAGACCTGGGGAGGCCATGGCCAACAAACACTAAAATCGGCGTACACAACTCCGACCGTCATTGACCATGATGGAATGTTGTTGTACAGCCTTCTGCCACTCTTGGTTCAGTTTACAGCTGACGACAACCTGAAGAGGACGGAGCTGCATACACACACGGAGAGGCCAGTGCGCAGTCGTACTATCAGCTAGACGTGGAGCCTTCCACTAACAACGCCCACTTTCCCACACGCTCATCACCCATTAACCATCTCAAACTGATCTGGGATTGAGTCTTCCCTGTGGCTGGCCTTGCTCTTCTCCAAGCCAGTCCTGTTTGGCTGACCTTACTCGTTCCAGTGAAAATATCTACTTGCACAGTTGCTCGGCCTCATGACGACTCGTTCGGGAAATCGGTTTGCAGTTCTGGAAAGCCATCGAGGCGAGGACGACGAAATCCAATCGCCGAAGATCAAGAAGAAGAAAACCAAGCCAACGCCCCCCGGATCACCCAAGAAACAAACCAACCAACCAGGCCGATCGAGCTCAGTCTCGAGGGATAAGCAATCTCAACAGCCCAAGAACAAGATGACCACCCGGCCGGATGTGGTTTCGGATCAGATGGGCGTCGGTCTACGGGGCCGGAACACGGCTCCAATCCAATCAGATTACGATCTACTCGAGAAGGGAGCCGCTCAGAGTACACCTTCCTCCGAAAAGAATCACCTCAAAGTCTCCAAGAAAAAGTCCAAGAACATCATCAAACTCTCCAAAAGGGATGCCAAACTTCCGGAACCTCATCCCTCGGCCCCATCCATTGCCGCCCTTTCATCAAAGGATAAGCGGGCAATGGTTCTCTTGGTCGTCTTGTGTGAGCCCTCTCGGCTTCCTTCAATCTCATCGACACTCTTATCCATCATCTTGTGAATCTTGTTTAGTATTCTGATCTCGATCCTCCGTCCTGTGAAACTCGTTTAGACATGCTCCAAGGTATCCCCGTCGGTCTGGCGTTCGGATCGATCCCATTCTTACTCCGTGCACGGCTATCATACAGTCAAATCGGCCTGTTCTCATTGGCCTCTTATCCGTACTCGTTAAAGCTTCTGTGGTCGCCGATCGTCGACTCCTGTTACTTCCCTAGCATCGGCCGACGAAAATCATGGATCATTCCCGTCCAGGCCCTCGTCGGTGTCACTCTCTGGTGGTTAGGAGACCACGTTAACGTCCTCATGGATGCTGAGATCCCCGATGTCAAGACTTTGACCGTCCTCTTCTTCACCCTCGTCATGTTTGCCGCCACTCAAGACATAGCCGTCGATGGCTGGGCTTTAGAGTTACTCTCGCAGGACAACTTATCTTATGCATCAACCGCTCAAACCGTAGGACTGAACATAGGATGTGAGCTGTTTTTTTTTTCTTTTCTTCTAATCATGAGCATCACTGAGTCAGGCAGCAATTGACTGATTATTGTTGGCGCATTAACTGCGATCCTAGATTTCCTCTCGTTCACCGTCTTCCTAGCCTTCAACAGTCTTGAATTCAGCAACAACCGATGTAGGAGCCTGTTTGGGTTCCCAAATCAAGATTATCCGTTGATGACTCTATCAGGTTACTTGAAGTTCGGTGGCATCTGCTTTATATTAGTGACCCTATACCTAAGTTTTTTCCAAACCGAGGATCCGGTTGATAAGGATTCGCCAGAATCTAACATGGATGTCAAGAAGGTTTACCAGATCATGTATGAGATTTGCAAGTTGAAACACGTTCAAAGCTTCATCCTTTTACACTGTATCGCCAAATTGGGCGTCAGTGTCAATGACGCTGCAACTAGCTTAAAACTTCTGGAGAAAGGTTTGAGTAAAGAGGATATGGCTCTGAGCGTCTTGATTGATTTTCCATTCCAAATCTTCTTGGGCTACTTTGCCGCAAAGTGGAGCAGCGGAGATAAGCCCCTTCAGCCGGTGAGTGACTTGGTGGTTTTCTCGTTCTTAAAATTCTTTCACTCAGATCACTTGCTTTCATCTTTTTTTTTACCAGTGGATATGGGCCATGTGGTTCAGATTAGCCTTCAGTGCATGGAATGTTGGGCTGGTCTACTTCTTCCCCGAGGCTAAACCACTCTCGAACTCATATTTCATACTGGTGATTGCCTCCACGGTCATGTCGAGCTTTGCCAGGTATGTGTCGTCTTGCTTCCGCATTTTTTTTCCCTACAGTCTAACGTGTTCATGATTCCGTCCTTGAAGCACCGTCCAATTTGTCGGGATATCTGCTTTCCACACTCAGATCGCAGACCCTCTGATTGGGGGTACTTATATGACTGTAAGCTGGCCCCCAAACACAATCTCCCAGAGATCGTATATGCTTACTCAAATTTGGCACCTAATGTTCTCCCTGCGTGCTAGTTACTCAATACCGTCTCCAACTTGGGTGGGACTTGGCCCAAGTACTTCGTCCTGAAAGGCGTCGACTTCTTCACCGAGGCAAATTGTTTGATTCCCAATGCCAATAGTACGCAACTCGAAGTCCAGGGTAAGTAAAGCAAGTGAAAACCAGGAATATCATGCCGTTTCTTATCGTTTAGGTGGGATATCCCCATTAGATATATGACTGAAACTTTGTTTCATGTGGAACAGGTACAGAATGTGTCTCCGATTTGGGAAAAGCCAAATGCACGGATTTCCATGGAGATTGTCATACCATCAAGGACGGTTACTACATCATGCAAGCTATTTGCATCACACTTGGCGCGATCCTCTTACTGGTTGTGATCGGACCCGCATCACGAAAACTTGGTGGTTAGTTGCAATGATTCCAAGTTTTTTTTGTTGTTATTTCTGTACATTGATGATGACTATTTCTCTCTCCCTAATCACCTGAATTCTTTAGCTCTTCCTGCTCGCGCCTGGCACGTCCGAAAAGCGTTATGATCTGGAATCTCGGGGCAAAAAATGAATTTTGTCTCACATGCATGCATAGATTACATAGAGATACACAAATCCTTCTTTATTTTTTTTTTCCCTTCAAGTGATGTCTTTTGTTTAAAAGAGTGTAGAGACTTTCTTTTTCTTTCTTTCTGCTTGCATTTTTAAGTCCACAGGAATTGAAAGGATCGTTTGATCGTCAAGCCGTCCCCAGTCTACTTTCCTGTTTGTCAGACCCTCATACGGCTGGTCCACTCCAGACTCTCCGTATCTACAAAAAGACTATCCTACGGTAACATACCCTTTGGTGTCATGGAGGGACCACAATCTCCAATTTCTCACCACACTTACAATAACCAGATATGAAGTGTTGTGTTATATCTTCATTGATCGAAATGTACATTTTTATGAACAAGGAATGTCGAGGAGAAACATACATTGGACTTATTTTTCATCATGTGGACTTTTTTTTGAACCCCGGGAAAAAATATACAAAAAGGCCTTTTGATGATTACAAGATTTTGGTTCCTTGCAACCATTTTGCAGCTAGGGAACGATGTTATAACAATTCATCCATTCAGCAAGTCAGGAAAATCCCACAAGCACAAAATTTTCTTCAAAGAATAAGACAAGAACATCAGGAGAGATGGTATGTAGATAATATTTTGATACAAAGAATCCCACGCGGAAATTCAACAAATTTGTCAATCAAGGTAGGCCTTGCACAGGTGGATTAAGAATGTGGACTGGAACTCTAGAAAATCAGTTGATTCACAAGACGAGTCCAAATTCTGTATTCCTGCTGTCTGCTTTTTTGCCCTGGAGTCGGAACCCATCAGAATCTGTTTAATGCATGTACATATATCATCAGGGTATGTGGTGACCGCTTGCAAAGTGACTGCATAGCTCAATGGAGTCCTGCTTTTTTGCTTCCAAAGAAAAACTGCTTGATGAATTAGAAATAAAAATTGGAGTATATACATGCACTCTATACAAGCTGAAGACATGATTTGAAAATTGGCTCGGAAGGTCATTATCAAAAGAACCGCACGGTTCCCAAAAGAAAAAAAAAAGGAAAGCAAACGAAAACGAAAACGAAATTCACAAACTAAGCAAGAAAGCCACGAATCAACGAGAACAAGTGAAGGGAAGGGCAAGAAATGCAGAGTGAATTAAGTTTGTCCAATGGGGAACCGAATAAATACGGGTTTGGAAAGTAGAAAATAAAGAGTACAGACACATTGTCTACAAATCAAAAAAGAAAAGAAAAAACTCCGTGTTGGGGTATGAAATAGAGTTCCGATTAGTGTATGTAAAAATGACAAAAAGATTTTTTGTGAATCTGAAACGATTTAATCTCCGATGACATTATCCAAACAGGTGAAAGGCGAATAGAAAGTTGGGATTGTTGATCAAGCGGCTCTCCTCGAGTGGTGGCTGTAAGCCGCGTGGCGGGTGAGGGGAACCTCAGATAATTCGATTGTGATTGAATGTTCATTCGAAACATGTTCCCCAGCTTCTGGGATCGTGTTCTGAGCCCCAGAAGTTCTTCTTCCATTACTAGTTACCGACGCAACAGAATCTCTTCTGCTGGCATTGACTGGGGGAACATTTTCGTCTGTCGAGTTCTGAGAGCCGAATCCACCGGTGAGCGTCCTGCTCAAGTTAAGCAATAATCCTCCTGACCGGACTGATGGAGAGGTACTATTTCGTTTGGGCGGACCGCTCAAAATTACGGTAGACCTTTGAAACTCTTCTCCATTGAAAGCAGGTGCGGCTTGACCTTGACCAATTGCCAAAGTGCGTATCACCTCGCCATCCTCAACATCTCCTGTACCTTCCGGATTTGTTCCTGCTCTTCCCCCATTCCTAATAACTCCCAGCACGGCCATGTAAGATGGTAGTAACGGCTTTCGGACGGCTTGTGGCTTGATTCCAAGTATTTTGGCCCATAGAGGTAAGACCGGAGGAGGACTTGTAGCTTCGGGGTCTGATAGGTCTGGAATTTGGGTGGAATACTCTTGGTCTACCCATAGACAAAGTCGGTGATGGAGACGTCTTAGAGCACCAACAAAAATCCAGATCCTAATTCAAGAAGCAAGAAGGTTTCAGTAAGTTGGATCATATTTGGTCCACACAGATTTTGAAGTATATTAAGACTCACTCTACAAGTAAGGCTACTATGAAGAAAGTGCCCATATATACGAAAGAAGCGCTGTTCCCACCTCCTGAATTACCGTCAGTGCCTTCAGAGGATGTGTCATCCCGATTATTTGGACTGGAGGGATCATCATTGTTATTGGATGCCGATTTTGCGCGATTGTTCTTGTTGTTGTTGTTGATTCGCTCTTGTACCTGAACTAGACCGACGAAAGTGAGAGAAATGACGACAACTCCAAACGCCGCCAGTAAGACCGGCTTCAAAAACATCGACAGCGCCGAGATTCTTTCACGGGGTTTGCCCGCTCGAGTCGGGCTATGCCCGTGGGACGAACTGGAAAGTGCTGGGCTCCAGGCTGGCACGGGACGCACGGGACGCGCAATTTGAGAAGGATGAGATAAATCGACGCCAAGCTCAGTCTGTGGTAAGCTGTCTCTAGTGACCAAATTAGGAGGTCGTGCCGGCCTCGCCGGTGGGATGTAACCTGAGTTAAACGAAACCCAAGTTGAATTTCACAGCTCCGCAAACGTTTTCAAGATTTCCAAACTCACCAATCTCGCCTACTTTCTCGGGTAGTGGACTTGCTTCTTGTAAGTTCTCTCCGAGTGCCGAGGCTGGCCCAGTGAGTTTAGGTTGCTGAATGGAAACTTGACCGCTGATAATGGGACTCCTTGGTATTGAAGTAGTTTCCGCTGTTGTGTTTGTTTGATGACTTGGGATAAGCGAGGTAGAACCAGGGGATGGATAACTTTGGGTGCCAGAAACTATTTCATGACCCTGGGCCACTATTCGGGAGATTGCAGAAATCGGTGGATCCGACCCATTGGAGCTTGTCTGGGGGGGTTCGGCGATTGCCATTGAGGACCAGTGAATTTGGAGAAGACTGTAGAAGCCGTATTACACCGTTATGATGTCACAATCACAATGCAATGAAATATTAATGCTGGGACACGGCTTATAAAATGCAGGGAAAAAGTGTGAGAAGTAAAACATGTTAATTTCCAACTTTGGAGCCAAGATGGAGGATCACAAGACCTATGAGCACAGGGTTCAAAGGAAGCACTCAGCCCCAACTTACTTGATAATAGTATTAAGTTTCTGCTGTCATCTGGCCCCACCGGGAAAAGCGTAATGTGACCCGTAAACAAAGAAGAATGGATGCCCGATGATTGATTGTCCAATGTATAAAGTCGAAGTAACCGAAGAGAAAAACGAGAATCCCCGACAGGCGAGAACTTTGGTTTATTAACAGAAAATATCAACTCGCTCCTCGAGCCCCAGCCAATTTAATTGCTACGCCAACGAAATTGTTCAGTAGCGAAGTATAACATCAAGCGTCGACGACCAGCGTTGATCCCGAGCAGTCTGTAGAAATTGAAACTAAGATGTGAGCCACGGGTGTGCCATGAGGTAGGGATCAAAAATATTTACTCCTACAATAAGCAGCCAAAATATGCAGCCTCGCTAGGATTAACCCAACAAAGATAATTCGGTATTAAATACAACGCTGCGTGGAAGCCTTAATAATATTAGAAGGATTTTCCTTGGTTATTCGAGTTTCGGGGCTGCAAGTGCCATAGCCTTCTTTTGATTAATTTTGGCAGATGCCACGGTTTGAGACTTGAGTTCTGGTTGAGGATGTCTATCGCCAGGCCAGTTCGGTTGGATTTGCGATTGGGCAAATCGGCTTGTCAACGGATGAAGCTACGAGCTGCTTGAGGAGAGTAAACTCAACTTGATGACTTGCGTTGCTTGTTAAGTACCAAGCACTTGGAGAACTGCGATGATGTTGCCCGCTTCTTCCTGTTAACATCCGATTGGGTTGGAATAGCAACCAGATACATATTTACTTATGTGTGGTCGAGCGATACGGATATGGTGCATACCTCCTCAGAATCGTGTCACCTTTGGCGCACTTCGGAACGCCCCATTCGAAGTCATTGTGAGTGTATATACAGTACATTTGGGCACATGTGCAAACTGCCTCCAAGCAATTGACTTGAAAGGCAAAATATGCCAAGCCTGTTGTCAGTATGTCGCAGGAAGTATTCGATCACCATGAGCCTCACCGATTCAATCACGGCATAAGTAAGCGCTTCGGAGCCGAGATCAGCAGGTATAGATTATGCATGAGCTATATGTCCGACTCCAACCTTTAGTTTTGCCTGACCTTAAACACTGGGGTTGAGATTAAATTGGAATCACCCTTACGGGACAATTTGGATTTTACGCATCTTTAAAAAGTAAGGAAGATAATTGTGTGTTGATCATCGGAGAGTTAAAACACCGTTTCTGACTCCGCCCGACCTCACTTGGCCCACTGAAAGAGTGGACTTGTGGTGAGTGAGCCCCACATCAGGCAGTGACCGGAAATGACGGCGGAATGAATGGGTTCATAACTTTTTATGCATCCAATTGGAATTTTGAGTTTTTGTTTTGTTTTTCTTCTTGAAACGATGCGAAACCCATCTCTCTCACAGCTTGATTAACATTGGCCTGCCGCCACACCCGAACGTAAAAATGCTGAAGAGTTCAAAAGGTACCCAATGACCCCCCCCCCCCCCCCCAAGTTGCCATCGACCTGCAAACCCCTCCTTCAAGGACCAGGATGCACTATTATCACTTCTTCTCGTGTGTTTTGCTTTCATTCTTCTTCACTGCTTATCAATCAAAAGCACAGCCTCCAAGTATTCTCACAGGCAAAACCGCACTGCAGGGGGGTCCAATTAAAAATATCATCCCAGAGGTCCATACTCACAGTGTAAGTAGAGGTTGAACAAAGGTAGAGTAGATGACTAGAGTTGCAAGCTCATGGTGGTTTTGCGCTGTGTTTTTTTATCTCACTAAAGCTCATATCAAACAATGCAGACGCTTCAGTATCTCAAAGAATTCAAGAGGACAGCTTTGAAGCGAATATATACCACCACGTAAATGAGGTTTTGGACGGTTTCATTATTCGCGGAGACGGTCAAGTCAGTCATACGATAAGTCCTAAGCAAGACTTGAATCATGACGTTGCCTCTGAAAAAGATCATGTGCAGTCCAAAATAGAAGGTAAGCTCTCGAATAATTACAGGTTAACACATATTGGAAGTTTGAATCCAAAAAACTACTTGGTGAAATGTAGGCCATCCTTTTTTCGAGATGATGTCCAGTCTTATAGAATTCAGAGCCCGTTACTTGCAAATACTCAGCCCAAACGAGAAAGAACAGGCGGACCACCTGTTGAAAGATTCCATATTGCCTCCGACTTTCTTCAAGACACTCTGGCACATTGATCAGGTTCTCACCAAGGTTTTGCCTCAAAAAAATCAAGCTAACCATGAAGCCCGCACTCCTTGGAGCACAATTATCGAAAAAACAACCGAGGTTGAGAGTCAATTCCGGAGAGTTTTTATTGATCGCTACTCCAAAGAGTTTGATGCGATGAGGGCAAGAGACGAAACCCCAGAATCGATCACACTATCTTCCCAGATTAAATTCATTGAAAGACAACTCACCAAATCTGATCTTTCATTGATCTACTCCATTCCACAAAGGGCAGAAGAAGCACTTTTGATATCACAATCAGAATTAAAAAAGTGCATCACATATTTGCTTTTTCTATATCTCATGAAGCAGATGATATTGCAATCCAGAAGGCTTTAAGTAATCACAAATATAACTTGAAAATCATATGTGACCCTATCATTCAACTCCCAAGAGTCAACACTTTGGAGTAAGCTCATTGGCACTTGGCCTGAAGTAAAGATAGTTCTGAAACCTGAATATTTTATTATTGATGCTTTTCATCCTCATTTTTGTTGCATTAATTGTTCACCAATTAACAAATGCTTCACAGCAGACCATCACTACCTTTTCAATTAAAAATCCAATTGCTTTCCATCCAGTTTTACATCTTTGCCTTCTTGTCAATGTTGAAAGTACAGTTCAGTTGTACAAGGTTCTAAGCATAAGCTAACTGAGCTTGATTTGAAAATTGAGACCCTAAGCAAGAGGTCATGGGAGCAAAGGACCAGAGACTTGCAGAGGAACAGGTCAACAAGAGGGAAAGGGGTATAAGTTGATCAATGTGGTCAGAACTAATCAGGTACACCACAGGACAATTCTGATGTCCCATGGACACCATTCTGGACAGCAAATGAGCTGTCCAGCATTTTCAGGGTAGGGAGTGTCCGCTAGAAACTACTCTGCCTGAAGATTTGTGGACACTTTTCAGAAAACTGTCTGATGGATGGTGAGAAGGTTGTCCAGTGGATGGGTTTTTTGGTTTGCTGGGTTGACAAAAAAATCTGAGGCAACCAAGTTTTGAACCCACAATCTCTTGCTGTAGTATCAGTTACTCTTGGTGTTAGCATCTAGTGTTATTTTAATGAATTCCAGGGTTTTATGACATGTGAAAAATTTGTGATGAAACCCAAATCTTGACTCTGATAAGAAAATGAACTGTGGCATATAGAATGAAAAAAGATGTGAATTTTTCACATTAAACCTCTCAGAAGATTTTTGGCTCATCCGGGTGCATCTGTTTTCCTTAGCAGAAGTGAGCTTTGTGAAATTCACCTCCCAACCAATTAATAAGCTGATTCAATGGTAAGGAAGCAGCAAAGATTCTCTGAAACATGTTAGATATTTACACAGAATAAAACTATTTCTCTAGATTACTGGCTTGAATAATGGCTGTCCATGGCCCAAACTAGGCACTAGTAGGTGCTTCCTTTCTTTGTCAAGCCCTGTAATATTCTGTAAATCTTTGAAATGAATCCCCATATCACACTCAATTGTTTGGTAATTTTCATTCATATTCATAATTAAATATCCCATAAATTTTTGAAACAGATCCCAACCTTTCAATTGATATTTTGGTAGTCCCAGGGAGAAAAAATGTAATTTTACTGAGTCTTACCTTTTTTTTATCTCCCCACAAATTTTTTATAACATGGAACCAGATGACAAAGGCTGAGAAACTCAAGTGAACCAAGATCCCTTCAAATGGTCAAAAAAGGTATTTTCCTAAGTTTTTCAGATTACAATTCTGGCTTGGATGCAATATTTGAAGTGAAGGGCTGGTATGTATTTCCAAAAGGTGGAAGTTCAGAGTCCAGACTCAGTGTATGACTTCCCATTTCAATCTACAACTCTCCCAGAAGGCAATTTACACCCCTTAGTTCTGAATTTTTGTTCAAAAAATCTGTTTTTCCAGACGCCTTCCACTAGCAATGGCCCTTATGTGAGCTGGTTGTGATCTTGGTTTTGTTGTTAATTTAGGACCTAGAGAAGTCTAAAAAGCACTTGAAATTGCAACTGGAAGTGCTCCACTTCATACCAAATTGCTAAGTTTTTTACTCCAAATTGTCTTTGGGCCTGAACAATATGGGATTGCATTCTAAAAATAGTGTTGATTGGTTATGTCAAAAGAAATTGTGAAACAACAATACCCTGATCACATTTTCTGCTCTGTTGAACATCTCATTTTCTTTCATAAGATTATAAGCCCAATATTGACCTATGCATCAGTTATATTGAAACAGGACAGCAGCCCACACTACTCACTTGAAAGCAAGGATTGTATGTAATTGTATGGTTTGATCCACTGTGTTGCAATTTCAATACATGAAGTGTCTATGACAGATTTGACAGTTTGCATCCATCTCAAGTAACTACCCATCAACAGCACGCCGGTACATACACATGCCCTCACATTCTTTCTCCTTAAAAATAAATCTGAAATGGGAAAGAGTTACATAGTTTTACTTTATCTTATGCATCACCTGGAAACAGAAGGCTCAAATATGAAGTCCTGGTACACTAGGGTGGTGGACGCTTTCTCAGGTGTGACAGCTTGTGTGACAGGCTGTGTGACAGATGTCTTGCCTCCTCCTCCTCGGCTGGGCCAAGACTTCCCTCTTGACCATCGAGCCAGCTTGAAGCAGCCTATCACCACCAGAGAACATCCACCACATCTCACTGCCAACACTCTCCCCAACTAGCTGGACTCAAATCGACCAATCAGGAAGGATGCTCGCCCAAAACAACAAGAAAAACAGGAACAAAAAGGTCCGCCTTCATTCTAAACATACCTGCTCGTTCTTTTATTGATTGTCAACTACACCTGTGATGCCTCTGACTGATTGGGTGATTTTCCTCCTCTTTCTTCCTTTCTACAGGGTCTCGCCCTTGGGGCCGGTGCCAGTCCAACCTCACTCGGCGGATCGAAAGCTGAGAAAATACGCCCTGCTAGGTCAACCTCCCTCGCTGTCGATTCTTGTTCAGCATCCTCTAATTCAACTACTACCGCCTCTGCTTCATCCCCATCCTATCAAATACCTACTAGTTCAAACCGAACAGACTATCATGACAAACTAACCGAGCAATTGGCCACTCTCGAGATCGGACTCGAATTCAAACTCGATCTACATGCTGAGGACCTACAACTGTTGGGCGATCTAGGCGCCGGGAACGGTGGAACAGTTTGCAAAGCGACCCATCTACCCACCAAATTAATTATGGCCAGGAAGGTGAGTGTCTTCTCCACCTCCCCCTCCCCTTCCCTCTCCCTCTCTCCTCTCATCTACTTATCCTCTGTTAATCATTTTAATTTCTGATGACATTTCCTAAACACTTTTTTTCCCTAGCTCGTCCACATCGATGCCAAGCCATCAGTAAGGAAGCAAATACTCCGAGAACTTCAAATCATGCACGACTGTCGGTCCCCTTACATCGTCTCATTCTATGGAGCTTATCTTCAAGATCCACATATCTGTATGTGTATGGAGTTTATGGATAAATCGTCAGTTTCTTTTATTCCTGTTGTATGATTATTAAAGCAATTTAGATATCCCACATCTCACATTTATCTCTGGGATGTAAACTTGGATATGGATATACAGTTCACTTGACAATATCTACAAAAAAACCGGACCGATTCCTGAACCTGTCTTGGGAAAAATCACTGTGGCCGTCGTTTCTGGTCTCAATTATCTCTATGATTCGCATCGCATCATTCATCGCGGTTAGTAAACTCTTCAATCATCCTGGCTGGCTACTACAAACCTGTGACTGGGAAATGTATCGCATCTGAGATCCACAATTACAGTTCATCCACTCTTGCAATCGGCACAATCTGACTGTTTCTCCGCGTTTATTTGTTGATTTCAAAAATAGATGTCAAGCCATCCAACGTGCTATTCAATTCTCAAGGACAAGTCAAGATTTGTGATTTTGGTGTCTCGGGTGAATTGATCAACTCGATTGCCGATACTTTTGTTGGTACTAGCACATATATGAGTGTACGTAAAAATGAACTTCAAGTCTATCATCAGGCCTTATCTGAATTATTTACATACCTTTGAATACAATCATGTAGCCAGAGCGCATCCAAGGGGCCCAATACACGGTCAAATCTGATGTCTGGTCTTTAGGGATTACACTCATTGAATTGGCGCTAGGAAGATTCCCGTTTTCTGAAGAGTCAGACGATTCAGATGATTCAGGGACAGAAGAGCATACATTGAGTCCGACTAAACCATCAGGACAAAATGTTCAACTCAGTTTAGACGCCGCTTTTCAGAAGAGGGAAGAACGTGATCGACAAAGACGAGAAAAGAGGCGGGCGAAGAAGGAACAGGAAACCCTAGAGCTTGGCGTCGATTCGGGCCGTAATCAGAAGAAGAAAAAGGGTGCGAGTGGTGTCAGTTTGGAGGGGGGATCCGCCCAAATGAGTATCTTGGAACTACTCCAGCACGTTGTCAAGTAAGTTGGTTGGTCTCATTGCAAGCGTCTGCAAGATGCAAGATGAATGTTGATTTGAGGGGAGGCTGACCGTTTTTAAAAAAAAAAAAAATTGAAGCGAGCCCGCACCTAAACTGCCTGCAGATCGATTCAAGAAACACACATGCGACTTTTTGGATGCTTGTCTTCTAAAAGAGCACGATGCAAGACCGACACCAAAAATGTTAACAGACTTTGACTGGTTCAAATTTGCCGCTGAAGATGAAGTCGATCTGGTCCAATGGGCTAGTACTCTCGCATTGTAATCAATTGGCCATGATTTTTATCTTGTACAAGGCAAAATTGTATGTGATTTCCAATCTTGCTTTCAATTGAACAAATGAGCTCTGGATATTTCATTGCAAAAAGATCAAACATCAATCTGGTTGTAGCTTGTACTTGATAAATAGGAAGACTGAATGTCTCTTCTCTTCTGTTCCCTCCTCTTGATTAAACAATAGTCTTCACATCACCCTTTCATCTTTGATGACAATTATTTATATGTTTTCTTTTCTCTCTCTTTCTCTCTCATCTATTTATTTCTCTACAGGCATCATGTTTTCTCTCTTAAGGTTCTACTGTAAAAATCTACTATTGACTGTTCTTTGATTATTTGTTTTTTATAATGCAACCTCATATATATTCTATCTTTTCTTTTCCTTTTGTGGTTCATTTGGTTTCAAGTTTTCCTTTCTCTTGTTAGTTGGGGTGACAACTCATTTGCTTGTTTACTTGGTTGGAGTTTCTGAAACCACTCAAAGCTCTAGAAGCCATAAACAGATCTGAATATACAGGTTCTCTAAATGTAGTGAGCAGTCCCCTGAAGTCCTTCTCTCAACTTTCAAATGATAACATAGTCTGTTGCAACTAGTTATGAGTGAGATGCAATAAAAAAATGCTGTGTGAGATGTGCTACATGTACAATGCCTTGACAGAAAAATCTGAACCCCAAGCAAAGTTCAAGCACTCAGGAGCCAATCTCTTATTGTTTCAAAAACATCAACCCAAGGTCAACAAAACGGTTTGCTGGTCAATCAAATCAAAAGCCAATTTCACTCATTGTTGACTTCAAGCACTCAGGAGGAGCTAGTCTGGGCAGGTACATAGTTGTTCATAATTTAACACCCTCTTCAGTATGCCTGCAGCACAGCTTTTCATGATAAACCTCAAGAGGACATTCCTCAAATGCCCCCTTTTGCAATGGAGCCAGACCAAATTGTTCTTCTTGGTGGACGACATCAACAGCATACTTCAAGATCCCGTCTTCGTCAAAATCATGAACATCAACTGGAAACAATTTCTTGGGAAGTGACAAAAGCAAAGCCCTGTCACTGTTAAGGATGGCAAACAGGAAGGCTTGGGCTGCCCGTGGGCCGGCCCGCAAGGGCCCACCATCTTAGCAGGCAGGCTTGGCCTGGCCCATTTAGCAAATGGGCTGGCCTGGCCTGGTCCATTTTGCAAACAGGGTGCCCATGGGCTGCCTGTGGGCTGCCAGCACAGAAAATAAAATACAGAAAACAAAATATCAAGGTCAAGGAGGCTGGCAAGTTGTTTCATTTCATTCAATATATGTCAGCCTTAGAGATACTCAAGAGTATCCGAAAGACTGCTTAAGAATATATTACTTGTAATAATAATAAGAAAACCCAGAATATTATTTTATAAATGAACTTTTCATTAAAGGTTTAGAGGGGGTTGCTCACTGGAACCACCC